TTAAAATGATCCTTTACATTTTAGTTCAAATTTTAGAGACCCACTTTATTACATTTTTTGACCCAGCCTTCACTAAATATCCATATAAGTAAATATTTTAACAAAAAAATTGGAAAGGGGGAAAGGACCCCACCAATACGCGTTGGCAGTTGTGTTTTAGCATGAGTGCATGACCTATTGTCATGGGGGTAATCGTTGGGGCCCCGTGCAGCACTCGAAATGGGCGAGTAAACCTACGAAACAAAGCAAACACACACAAAAAGGCAACAAGATGGCACACGAATTAGCAAAATGCTATTTGTATTGCATCAATCAGTGGTAAGCATAAGCACACAGTACAGTGTCGAGGGGATCTCGTGCTTAACCTTTACACGCTTATGAACTCACTCGACTATCTACCTCCCCTCAAAGAGTACGTTAAGCTTTTGGGGGAGTGACAAAAGGAAAYATCAAAAGGATGGAAAAACATACTAAGTAATTACAATAACGCCATTGGCGGTCCCCCTTACAAAATATAAGCAAAGCCCACCCATGACACACATGTTGACACCATGAAGGCACGTGGTTGGCACTCTGATGGCTCACTGTAAGTGCTTGATGGCGCGGCGAAGGAGTCACCTGTGACATTCTCCCCTACTCAATTTGATCTACGTCCTCGGAGATCGGCTTCGGTTGGTCCCTTAGAGTCACTATTGCGGAAGGAGGGTTCTTCTACTGCTCCCCGAACCGGTTGTCGTCCAAGGCCAAGGTTTATACTTTGGTGGCATGGTTGAGTTGGCTCATTCTTTTGGGGTTTCCTATGGCTAAGTCCTTTCCTGGCAGCTCAAGGTATGTTAGTGGCTGGTTTAGTTTGGCTAAGGGGTAGGTTTGGGCCAGGTAAGGATCAAAATGGGTGTTTTGAATTATTAAGGTATGGATTCCCATGCATTTTTCCCCAAGGGTAACTCACAGGGATACTACGAGAACTAGCCTTAGGGATGATGTGAAATGTGGTCCCTAGATGGCTTGGGTGGCACTCACTCTCCCCGGTGGTTGTGGTAGTAAATGTGGGCAAGGTTTGACACGGCCTTGGGTCTTCTTCTGTTGGGCCCACCAATTGCGGGCGCTTGCGGCTTCTGCTGCGAAGTCNGGCCTTGGGTCTTCTTCTGTTGGGCCCACCAATTGCGGGCGCTTGCGGCTTCTGCTGCGAAGTCAACTTCTGCTGATGTGGTTGGTGTTGAAGCTAATGCTGCTGCTGATGTTGACTTGGGCGCTGGCATTGGCGTTGGCGCTGGAAATGGAACTGTCTTGGGGGTGACTTATTCCTGGTGACGACTTCCCAACCAGTTCCAGTGTCGAGGTGAGGTCCTTGACAGGGGTTCTTCCTTGTTGACGTAGCGCTGTCTTCATGGTTGCTGGTTTCTTGGTACAACTGCAAGGCTGAAAGTTGCTTCCCAAGTATCTGCAAGACTGATGAGACAAGAACCATGCAAGGGGAGTGTTCGTCCAGAATAAGCAAACCGTTGATGTGTGGCATAAGTGCTGCTTCCGCCTGCTTGAGGAACTCCACTCCAAGA